AAGATGGCGGCGGCGGCAGGGCGGTATGTATGGTGGCGGGGTATGGCGGCGGGCTGTGGCGGCAGTCCTACAAGAAGAAGAAGAAGATGGGGAAGAGGAGGACGAGGAGAGAAGAGGAAGGAGAAGAAGATGAGGGGGAGGCGGAGGAGGAGAGAAAAAGAAGAAGAAGAAGAAGAAGAAGATGGCGGCGGTGGCAGGGCGGTAGGGTATGGTGGTGGGGTATGGCGGCGGGCTGCAGCAGCGGTCCTACAAGAAGAAGAAGAAGAAGAAGAAGAAGAAGAAGATGGGCGGAAGAGGAGGAGGAGAGAAGAGGAAGGAGAAGAAGATGTGGGGGAGGCGGAGGAGAAAAGAAGAAGAAGAAGAAGAAGATGGGCGGAAGAGGAGGAGGAGGAGAGAAGAGGAAGGAGAAGAAGATGAGGGGGAGGTGGAGGAGAAAAGAAGAAGAAGAAGAAGAAGAAAATTGTCGGAAGAGGAGGAGGAGGATAGAAGATGACGGAGAAGAAGATGAGGGGGAGGCGGAAGAGGGGAGAGCGGAGCAGTTTTTTTTTTTTTTTTCTTACCTGTGGTTTATCTCGCGACCTATCGCCGACGAATGGAACAAAAAAGAAGAAGAAAAAAAAGATAGTCGGAAGAGGAGGAGGAGAGAAGGAGAAGAGGAGGAAGAAGAAGAAGAAGAAGAAGGGCGGAAGAGGAGGACGAGGAGAGAAGAGGAAGGAGAAGTATGAGGAGGAGGAGGAGGAGGAGGAGAGAAAAAGAAGAAGAATAAGAAGAAGAAGATGGCGGCGGCGGCAGGGCGGTAGGGTATGGTGGCGGGGTATGGCGGCGGGCTGCAGCGGCGGTCCTGCAACAAGAAGAAGAAGAAGAAGATGGGCGGAAGAGGAGGAGGAGGAGAGAAGAGGAAGGAGAAGAAGATGAGGGGGAGGCGGAGGAGGAGAAGAAGAAAAAGAAGAAGAAGAAGATGACGAGCGGAGTTTTTTTTTTTTTTTTTCCTTACCTGTCGTTTATCTCGCGACCTATTGCTGACGAATGGAACAAAAAAAAAGAAGAAAAAAAAGATAGTCGGAAGAGGAAGAAGAAGAAGAAGAAGAAGAAGATGAGAGGGGGACGAGTGACGACCGACTCCACGACGACGGGCGACGGGCGACTCCACGACGACGGGCGAGCGCAGCTCCCAGGCGATGGTGACAATGGTCAGCGCGAGGAGCGAGTCGAGGACGAACGCAGGCGGCTGGAGGGAGGCCCCGTTTCGACAGCCAATGCAGGCTGCCCAAGCCAGTGGTTGTTCAAACAGGGCCTGGGTTTTCCCTCCAAAAAACAAACGGACCTCTGGCCGTCGATCATGGATGATCGACGGCCGGAGGGCCGTCACAAATTCAAAAAAAAAAACAGGCCTCACGGGCCCGACGCGCCGTTTTCTGGGCGTGGTCGGACCCGGTAGGCCCTGGGGAGACATAATCTGGCCGATTCGGGGCGGAAACCCCCTGCCAGCAAGGTGTGCTGGGGGGACCCGGCCCCCAACTGGGCCGCCCGCGCGGCCAGGCCGCTCGGGACCTCCCCCGGGCAGGCGCTGGTCGGCCGGGCGGCCCGGATCCGTACACAGTTTATACTCCCCTTCCCCACCCGTGACGACCAACTCTCAAAAAAAAGAACGAGCCTGGATTTGGGCTCCTCTCGGAGAGCGCGAAAAAAACCCACAGCCATTTTTTATTTTTTTTCCCCCCCATGCGCGGGTATCCCGGGTGAGTGGCTGGTCATGAAAATCTTCTTAGATTATTTATGCTTTGCAAAGCCTGCAACATTTTCGGATTGTGATGTTAATCGTGTTGCTCATTCCATGAAACATGTATAGGCAAGGTGCATTGCATCTAATCGATCAAAAGGATCTTTTCTTGTGAAAGGATGGATGGATGTAAAAGCCTGTTTAGTTGTCTTTTCTGTTGTTGGCCAGTGCGCAAAGCGTTTGACCAACTTTGGTGATTTGGTTATCGTATCATAGATGACATTCTTTGTTGTCGTCTTTTGGTGTTTTGTTTGATGATCGGTGCGTATGCAGATGAACCCAAATTCAGTTGCTACTCATGGAACTTTCATGAGCTTGAGTTGGATCATGTTGAAGTTATGCGAACCATTCCTGGATCCGCTTTCATCAAAGAAGGACAGAATAGATTACTCTTACGTGACGCAAAATAATCGGGTGAATTTCAGGTTGGTTCGTCGGTTGCTGCAGGGCATTCAAGTCTGAGCTGGGGCTACAGGATTGTTGGTTTTTCTTTTGTGGTAATGTGGGTAGAATGGGGGATTAATGGGCACATCATCGGAATGGGCCTCACTTGACCACGACTCTTCAAATCTGGGTTGTGCAACCGGGGGTCACCGTTGCAGCTCTTTCCAACATGTGGATAAAGCCGTTGGAGAGTTGTCAGAGGCCTTGGTTGTAGAGCGTCTTCAACTCTAGAGAGTTACCTACTGTGCAACGCACAATTCTCTGTGTGCTCTTCATTGAGAACCAAAAATTGGAGAGTGCTACTGGAATCAGAAACCTCTTCATGGACTCTGATCTGTTGTCTGCAACTCCTTCTCTTTTTTTTTTTTTTTTTTTTTTTTTTTTTTTTTTTTT